AGTAAAAGTGCAGTAGGACAGTGCTGTTACAGTAGGGACTGTAGTAAAAGTACAGTAGGACAGTGCGGTTACAGTAGGGACTGAGGATCTGTTCCCAAGGTGATAGGAGATGAGGGACCAGCTCTATTGAGCCTCCTCTCTTCCTCAGTAGGATTGGAAACTGTTCTTATTTTGACAGGTGTGGAAATTCGGGAATTAGATTTTTTTATTTAGGGAAGTATTTCTCATGAGTGTGGCAAAAGGTGCTTCTCTGCTGGCATAAAGAGGATCTGACAGTAACAAACTGCAAAAGTGTCAGCGTGTGGCATCCTGCAATTGTAAAATTTTTGCATGGGCACGTCGGAGTTTAGCATGTCCTCAGTGTAAGTGCTAACAGTTGGACCTTCTGTACTGAGCTTCCTGATGAACCTGCTAACCCTGAACAACTCTCGCTCTCTCAGTGTGGTGAAGGGCCGGCTGCCCCAGGTGGGCGAGAAGGTGCTGGTGACTGCAGTGCTGGACCCGGCTGTGTCCCAGTCCTGGACTGCACAGAAGGTGCAGGCACTCAACAGCCAGGTATGTGGAGAGAGACCGAGTAAAGGCAGGAGGTGTTGGGCTGGCTGGGGACCTAGACAGGGGGAGGCCAGCAGTTTCCCAGCAGACTTGGAATGACGTATAGAGAGCCGAGTTCAGAGATCCAAGCAACATCAGCAGAGTTGCAAGCAAGAGTAGTCCCTTTGGCCTATTTAGCTCAATTGGCTGCTAGTAACTAATTGATCGGAGGATTTCATCCAGCTTTATTAATTTGTCACTTTGGCCTCTATTGGGAATGCGTATTTCTCACTTTGTTTAAAATAACTTTTGTAAACCTTTACTAATTTCTTAGGTTTCTAGGAAAAGAAGCTTGAACATAACCTTAGATGCCACCCTCTTTATTTTTTTCTCTCGCTTCCTCCCACTTTCTCTCTCCCTCTTCCTTTTCTTCGTCTCCCTCGTTCTTTGTGTTTCTTCCTCCCTCTCTCTCTCTCCTAGCTCTTCTTCAAATCTCCGCCCCCCCTGTTGCCCTCCATGTCGAGCGGACAGAAGCAAGGGATCCTGGGAAACAAGCCCCGACCACTCCTGCAAGATCCCATGATCCCCCCGCTGCTGCCCAGCATGCAACAGGCCACGCCGAAACGTGAGTCTGCTCTAGGAGTTCAGTGTAGCATCACATAAATTCCCTGAGTAAAAACAGAGTAACATGGCAGTAACATCACCTAATCTGATCTCACTACTCAGCTAGGTGTTTAAGATCTGCTTTGTCACTGTAGGATTGCTCATTAGGCTTCCAATTAACTTCTCTTTGATCCATTCCAGTTTGTTCTCATACAGGCTGCACTGACTCTCAACCACACTTTATCACAGTTCTCTTTTCTTTGAATTTGCCATTGCCATTTCATTTTTTTCCATCCAGCTTGAAAGCAGCAGTTGTTGAACTTGCGGAGTGACAACCTCTAAATGCCAGGAGCTTTTGTCGGTACAATTCATTTGGAGCGTACAGGCTGTTAGGCGAAGTGGCACAGTCTCTCACAGACACAGGTCCCTGGGGTCACTGTTGGGCAGTGGGCTGGTTTTTGTCATGGACAGATAAGACAAAGTGGGGCTTAAAGCTTGCATTTTCAAAGCTATCGGAGGTGCTTGTCTTAATGTGTTCACATTAACAAAGCATGGCTCTGCCCCGTTCAGGAATGAAAGCACCTTTCTCCACTAATGAGGCTTCGTACTGTTAAGGAGAGCCTGTTCCGCCCTCTTGCTGCTGCTGCTGAAGTTATTTATGGTGCCTTCAACGTCTGCTGAAACGCTGATCATGTATCTGTAGAAAGCTTTAAATATCCCCCCCTTTCATCGTCTTCTTGGCCACAGACACTTTTGCAGATCGAACACTGGTTATTTATGATTCACAGATAGGTCGTTAAACAACAAATAAGCTGAATCATAATTGATAGTACAGTGTCCTGTTTTGTGCATGTGTTATCCTGTGACAGTCTCACCAGCACAAGTAAACACACCACGTATCAATAATATGATCATGAATATTGGGGTGATTGAGCACACCCAGATAACAAGCATCCCCAGAGCAGGAGTCGATGCGAAGGGACCCAATGTAAAAACCGGCATTAACAAAGACAAACTAGCATACGTCTTCAGCGTGAACTGAGAAGCACAAAGCCGAGACCACGAGGGGAAAGTAAGGAGACGTGCATTTAAACATGGACACTTTTTTTGTCAGTAAGTGGAAGTAAGGAAAAAGCTGCCCAATCGTCTTGTTAAAGCCAATACTTCAGGTTTTTATAAAAACAGTATCAATTAGCTACTATCTACCAGATGGGCTTGATGGGCATGAATGGCCTCCTCTCATTTGTAATGTCTTTTTTTCCTTCCCCCTCTCTGGATCGGGCAGATAGGATCTCACAAATATACTTATATTAACTTCTCCGTCTGCACGGTTTCACTGAAGATTTGGTTGTTAACAGGAAACGTGCCCAAACTCTGGTGTCAGCATAGACTGTAGTCTTCGGCTGGTAAAACCAGGAATGGATTAGATTTGCAATCGGATTGCGGTCTAATTGTGTGACAGGATGGCTCCTGGTCTGTTCTTTCTGTTGTAGAGCAATGAATACACCCAAGGGCAATGTCCTTGCTGAACAATAGAATTACTTTAAAGTACTTTTAAACAAAGGGTAAACTCTTTTCTCCATTTACTTACAGCCTATTAACGCAATGTTTCAGTGTAAAGAATGCTTTTGTCAAGGTGCGGTACTGGGTTAATAAGTAAATGGAGCAAAGAGTGCGTATCTTACCTTTTATAAAACTAGGTCCTGTTAAGTGTCCGGCTCAGCACGTTTCTGCCATCTCAGTTGCAGCTGCAAGGTGTGAATCCGAGCCCTAGGTACACTATCTGTGGGCTTCTGTTTAAGCCCATACCAGAGGCTGGATATTGGAATCTTTGTCTAGGATAGGAAGATGTATTCAGAGATGAATGAAGCAAGTAGCTGGGGATCGGCCATCCCTGTCTGCCTCTCTTGAGTATACAGGGTGGTAATACCATGTTAATCCTGGTTGTTGTGAGCCCAGCTATGAAAAATGCCACATGCTGGGAATGGTTGTGGAACATGAGGTAATTACACAGAACGAGTCTCAGCTGTCAGAGCCCTGCTGTGCACATCCTGGCGAGCGTGAAACCCCACAGGGGCAGGTGACTGGGCTGCACAGTGACTCACCTCTAAGGGTGTGATGATGTAATTATAATGATCAGGCGCATGGGATGTTTTTGGTGTCACTCCTCTTTCACTCGCTGTTCCTTTCTTTTTGTTTTGCTTTCTTTTACCCCTCTCCCCCCAACGTGTTTCCCAGCTGGCTTACTGCAGACGCCCTCCCACATGCCTTCCTGGGGGGGGCACTTTGAGCCGTGGACGGGGGGTAGGAAGAGGCACAGCGAGGGGTCGGGCCGGAGGGGGTCGCGCTGGTGAGTGAAACGCACTTCCTGTCAGGACCGGCGCACTGTTCTTCCTTATTATCCTCTGGCCTTTTTAAATAGAAAGTTTTATGTCCCTCTCCGCCAAAAAAAACATTGAATTTGAAGTTAAATTCTTTAAAAAACAAACAAACAGTAGAATCTCAAGGCAAGTCAGCCTCCATTCTCCATGGTAAAGGAGCATGTTTGACTAACGGTCTATCTGTCCCCAGCTGTGTATCAGTGTACCTGAGTGTCTTTGTGTGTGTGCACCTCTCCATTTCAACTCAGTGTGTGTATCTTGTCTTTCTGTGTGTGTTTCACTCTCTGTCTCAATATATGACTGGTGTGTACCTGCCTGTCTCTGTTGCCTGTGTATCTCTGTACAAGTGTCTGCCTGCGTGTCTCTGGACACATGTGTCTGCCTCTTGGCAGTCTGTCTGTCGGTCTTGCTGTGTTGACTGGGTTGCGTGTGCCTGTATGTGTTGTCTGCGTCTCTCTGGACACGTGTGTCGGCCTCTTGGTGGTCTGTCTGCGTGTTACTGGACATGTGTGTCTGCTTTCGTGTCTCTGGACACGTGTGTCCGCCTCTTGGCGGTCTGCCTGTCTGTATTTCTGTGATGATTGGTTTGTATGTGTCTGTAGGTTTTGTCTGTGTTTCTCTGGATATGTGCGTCTGCCTCTTGGTCTGTCTCACAGGATGTCTGTCTCTCTGTGTGGCAGGGAGGATGGAGGCTGGGGGGGCGACAGCCAACATCAGAAGAGGCGGAGGTGGCGGGGGACACAGGAGGAAGGGCCCCAGAAGAAAACCAACGTCCGGACACCTCGATACTGGCCCCTCTTCTCCCGGTTCAGCAGGGACAGGTACAAGACACGGGGGCGTAGCTGATGAGGGTGGGGTATTAGCCAAAGGCTGTTTTTATATTGAGTTTCAGCTTTCAGTGTTGGGGAAAACCTCCAAGCATTGAGGTAGCAGATGGAGTCAAATTTCACAGTCCAGGTTTTACCAGCTGCAGGCTGTTCTATACATCATATTCATGAAGCAGACAAGCAAACAGAGCATTCGTTCACTTACTCTCTCTCTGCCACACTCCTCTTCTCCTTCCCTTCTCTCTTTTTCTCTCTCCTCTCTTTTCATCCGCTCCCTCTAGCTCAGCGTGTGATACAATGGAGGTTCTGCGCCGTTACCCCCAGCTCAGCATCCCGGACGCCTTCTTCCACCTGCGGCTTAGCTGGGTCGACACCTTCCCCCCTTCCCGACCTTTGACCCTGGGGTACCCCTGTCCCTTCTACCAGGGCAGCCCGCAGCCTGAGGCCGAACTCACTCACCCCACCAGTACCAACACCACCTACAGCACCAAGGTAACCTCTAACCCGCAGCCAGCCCTAGTGCTCAGTGCCCCTGCAGCTTTAGCACTGACCGTAACCCCCGCCTTCTGCTTCTCCTTAAACCTCTCTCTGGCTCAGATTCAGCCTGCCTTTAACCCCCACTGCAGATGGAACTGATCAGAGCTGTAACTCTAGTCCTAATGCTGAAATCGTCTGTATCCCTTACTTTCTAACCTCCATCTGCTGCTTCTTCCCAGATGTAGCAGCAACTTCAATCCTAGCTCTTAACCCTTAACGTGACACGACTTCCGCTCTGTGGCCCTGATGCTGTGTTTGTGACCTGCAGGTGTTGCTGCTGTCCATGCCCAGCCTGGAGGAGATCTACCGGCAGTGCTGCTCTCTGTCGCAGGACAACAAGGAGCCAGCAGAGGGTGCTGTCCACCCCACGGCCCTCATCAAGGTCAGGGGCCCATTGCTTTTACAGGGGCTTCTACAGTCCTGGAGTGGGGGGGCCACTCTTTTGCTCCCCTTGTATCCTAGGACGGGAGCCAGAGCTGATTTAAAGGGAATGGAAAGAGGTCAAGCAAGGATATTGAGGGTTGGCTCTTTGTTCTGCAGCTGCCCCCCTGGTGGGTGGTGAAGCACCTGTGGGTGTCGGCAAAACGCTCTGAGACCCGTGTGAGGCTTGTAGACCAGCGTACACAAACTGTGGTTCCCTGACCCCTGCTGGTCTGCAAAGCTACTACAGGGTATCGGCAGAAAAACAAATTGCGATGTGGGGGCTAAAACTGTCAGCACCCCAACCTGACCTCTTTGAATTCAGTGAAGCAGCTCTAGCCATGCTGATCAGTTACTCCACAACCACGTTCTGCTGTGCTACTTCAATAAATTTGTGAAGGGAAAAAGTATAATTTCCACAATTTAAGGCGGGTGTGTTACAGGTGTTTACAGAGTGCAGATTATTTCTTTGCTCTTCTGTTAGATTTCAAATTTAATGGGGAGTAAATAGAGAGGGAAACTGAGGTGGGGTCCACTCACTCAAAAAGGATGGGGACAGCTGTCGTAGAGCCCCCCAGGATGGTCTGAGTAGTCTCCTCGTGGTTGTCCCCTTTTTGGGGAGCTGACTGACAGCTGGCGGCTCCAGTTCTTGTGGCAGAGGGAGGAGATGCCTGTGGGGCGAGGAAGAAACTAACAGGGTGTCTGCCTGGCCTGGACTGGGTGTCTAACTATCTGTGCTTCTCGGCTCTCTGCAAAGTTCGTGGTGGGGATCCGGGGCGGCGAGGAGAGGTGGATCGGGGGACCCTGGTCCCCCTCAGAAGATGGGGCGAACCCGGCTAAGGAGCCCCAGGTTCTGGTGCGGACCGCAGTGCGCTGGGCCCGGGAGCAGGCAGGACTGGACCTGAGTGGGTGCTCTCAGTGGTCAGTGTGTCCTCTATGAACCTCCCTATTTTCCTCCACACCACAGAGAGACCAGCTCCCATTGTGCAGCAGGCCAATCCAGTCCAGCCTTCACGGCTGACTTCAGGTTCCTGGGTAGATTATAACAATGCAGCGGAGAGACACTGTAAAGATGACCAGTTCTCCTCTAGCTTCAGGGCAGTTCAGCACTGCGTAATGTGCAATTGCATTTTACTTTTGTTAATCAAGCCCTTTTACTCCCAATTCAAGTTTAAAATTATCTGTTTTTATTAAGGGCATGTAAACACTTTAACATTAATATATGCTATGCAAAATGTACTACATTGTTTTTTAAAGTTAAATATTTGATTTGTAACAGGACAAGAAGGAAGCAGAGCACAAAGAATTGAAACAAGTGTAGCCGTTGTAGGTTAGGAAACATGCGGAAACCCATTGTGTTTTCAAATTCTCTCCGCTCCTTCCCAATCACCTCCTCCCCGCCCTCAGGTTCAAGCTGGCGGAGCTGCGCTATCTGAGGGGGGGCCACGTGGAGACCACGGTTTTCTTCCTGCCCGATGTCTGGCACAGCCTTCCCGGGCGAGCCGAGTGGGAGGCTTTGCGAGCGGTGCCGGATGCCGGGGCAAACAGTGATGCCACTGAGGGACATGAGCAGCAGGTACCCCCAGGAACGCCCTTACTTTCCCTCAATGTCCGGCAGCCCCTCCCAGCCTGTTTCTAGCTGAACAGCGTAGTTTTCCTGTACCTGTCTCTCTTTCTCTCCTCACTGCAGTGAGTGTATCACAATGCCCAGTGTCTGTGTTAACCTGTCTCTCTTTCTCTCCTCACTGCAGTGAGTGTGTCATACTGCCCAGTCAGGGTCTGTCTCTCTTTCCTCACTGCGTGAGTGTGTCACACTGCCCAGTCAGGGTCTGTGTTAACCCATCTGTCTCTCTTTCCT